CTTGATGCTCTCAACCCTCTCAAACTCAGCTCCATTGATGTGGATAGGGGTGTGTTGTCCTCCTTTCTTTCTGAAGTCAATGATCGGTTCCTTTCTTCTGCTGACACTGAGAGAGAGGTTGTTATCATTGCTCCACATCACCAAGCTCTCTACCTCTTTTCTGTATTCTGACTCCACGTTATCTGATATCCGTCCTGCCATGGTGGTGCCGTCAGCAAATCTGTGGGTGATGTTCAGTCAGAATTTGACTAGACAGTCGTGGGTGTAAAGGGAGTACAGTGGGAGGCTGAGGACACATCCCTGGGGGGCTCCAGTGTTAAGTGTTATTGTGGAGGAGGTGCAGTTACCTATCCTCATTGATTGTGGTCTGTGGGTCAGAAAGCTGAGGATCCAGTTGCAGAGGGCAGAACTGAGACCAAGGTCACGCAGTTTTGAGATCAGTCTGGAGGTGATAATGTTTTTGAAATTGGAGCTGTAATCAATGAGCAGGAGTCTGATGGAGTTGTCCTTGTTGTCCAAATGTTCCATGGATGACTGCAGGGCTAGGGAAATGGCATCCACTGCAGACCTGTTACATCAGTAGGCAAATTGCAGGGGATCAAAGCCGGCTGGGGGGCTCGAGTTGATGTGGATGATGACCAGCCTCTCAAAGCACATCATGACTATGGAGGTCAGAGCCACTGGGCAGTAGTCATTAAGATACATTTCATGTGGTTTCCTTGGTACCTGGGTGATGGCAGTTTCCTTGAAGCAAGTAGGGATTCTGGCTTGTAGGATGGATAGGTTGAAGATGTCAGTGAATACCTCCACCAGCTGATCCGTACAGGTCTAAATGTATGGCTGGGGACTCTCTCCGGGCCTTTCACTTTCCTCGGTTCGTCTCCCAGGAAGACCAATCTGACATCTGCAACAGTAATGGAGGGATGCATAGAAAGCATTGAGCGCATATGGGAGGGGTGTGTTTTTATCTGCTTCTTGTGTCTTGCTCTGCTTCATTTTATATCCTATTATGCTGTTTAGGCCTTGCCGTAGGCAGCAGGTGTCCATACGGTTGGTTTGAGCCTCTAACTTGGTCCAGTACCATCTCTTGGCATTTCTGATGGTTTTGCAGAGGTCATATCTGGATTTTCTGTACAGGACTGGGTCATCTTGCAGGCTGCCCACCTGGTCTTTAGTTGGCAGTGGATTTCTCAGTTCATCCACGGTTTCCTGTTGGGGAACTCTCGGATTGACGTCTTTGGCACACAGTCCTCTATGTATTTGCTAATGAAGTCCCTGGCAATGGTGGCATACTCATTTCGGTTTCCTACTGAACACTTGAACAGGGTCCAGTCCACGAATTCCAAGTAGTCTCAGAGATGTTCTTCTGCTGCCTCGGACCAGCATTGTACAACTTACTGAGAAGGGTCCTCCCATTTCAGCTTCTGCTTGTAGGGTGGGAGGAGGAACACAGCACCATGATCTGATTTTCCAAAGTGTGGATGGGGAATTTGATGGTTGTGTAGCAGTGGTTCAGAGTGTTCAGTCCTCTAGTGGGGCAAGTGACACGTTGGTGGTATTTTGGCATCACCCCTTTGAGATTGGCCTGGTTGAAATTGCCAGCCACGATGAACAAGGCCTCAGGGATTTTCATCTCCAGAGTGTTAGTGGCAGTGCAAATTTCATCCAGAGCATTCTTCACGTCTGTATGCAATAGTGAGTTGTATTCCTCGAGCCTCAGTGAGACGATTATGTGTTGGGTGAGGTGGAGTAGTAGTGATCCTGAGTGCAAGGTAGCACAGGTAGGTTGGGAAATTGTGGAACACAGAAGATTATAACCTTCCTGCCTGGAATGGGCACTCCTCTTAACTAAGGACATAGCGTTTACATGGGCCACTATCTGGGCCCAGGCTAGTTGGATGTGGTGGCATGGCCACATTTGTGAGTAACAGGAAAATGACTGCTCTGTTGCTTGCTAGTACCTTCAGGTCCCTGTCAATGAAGAGGGGTTTGAGCTTCAGAATCATAGAATCCCTACAGTGTGGAAACAGGCCACACCAACACTCCAAAAAACATCCCATCCAGACCCAAACCTCTACCTATCCGCGTAACCCCACATTTCTCATGGCTAACCCACCTAACCTGCACATCCCTGGAGACTACAGACAATTTAGTACGGTCAATCTGCCTAACCTGCATATCTTTGGACTTTCAGGGCTGTGTGCTCAATGCCAACGGTTGTGCACCATAGTTTAGGGGCAATTCCTGACCTAGAGTATCTGAAATGCTGCACAGTTGATCTTTAAATACAACCCTTGAGATGTAAAAGCTGGAAAGAGAAACCGAAAGAACTGCAGATGCTGTAAATCAGGAACAAAAACAGAAGTTGCTGGAAAAACTCAGCTGTTCTGGCAGAATGTGTGAAGAAAAATCAGAGTTAACATTTCGGGTCCACTGACACTTCCTCAGAATTGATGGTAGCTAGGAAAATGTTAGTTTATATGCAGAAGTTAGTGAGGGGTGAAGGGGTAAAGAGTAAATGATAAGTGGGGATAGAGCCCAAAGAGAGAGAAGAGCAGTTGGACAGACTAAAGAGTGAATAACGATCAGGCTGGGAGGGTGAATAGTTGTTAATGGAGACTGTTATTGACTAAAAACAGGTGGTGTGCAATGGCAGGCTATGTGGTAACAAGGCCTGGTGTGTGGGGTAGGGGGCTGGGACATGGGAGAGTTTAGACCATAAAATTATTGAACTCTATATTGAGTCCAGAGGGCGGTAGGGTCACTAAGTGGAAAATGAGGTGGTGCTTATCCAGCTTGCATTGAGCTTCACTGGAACATTGTAGCAAGCCAGAGACAGAGATTTTGGCCAAGAAACAGGGTGGTGTGGTAAAGTGGCAGGCAACAGGTAGCTCAGGGACAAAAACAAAGTTGCTGGAAAAGCTCAGCAAGTCTGGCAGCATCTGTGAAGGAGAAAACAGAGTTAACATTTTAGGTCTGGTGACCCTTCCTCAGAACAGGTGGCTCAGGGTTTTTGTTGCAAGGAGAATGTAGATGTGCTGTGATGCAGTGACCCAGTCTACACTTCGTTTCGCCGATGTAAAGGAGACCACATTGTGAGCAGAGAATGCAGTAGACTAGATTCTGGGAAGTGGAAATGAAGTATTACTTCACCTGGATGGTATGTTTGCGCTCTTGGATACTGGGGAGGGAGGAAGTAAATGAGCAGGTGTTGCACCTTTGCCGGTTACAGGGGAAGGTGCCATGGGGCTGTGGGTTCGAAGGGGGGTGGTGGCGGTGGTGGTGGGGGAGCAGTTTGAGGGTGAAGGAAGAGTGGACCACGGTGTCCCAGAGGGAGCAGTCCCTGCAGAAGGTGGTCAAGGAAGGGGAGGCAAGTACATGTCTGGTGTTGGCATCTCGCTGGAGGTGGAGGAAATGGCATCTGATGATCTTCTGGATGTGGATGCTGGTGGGATGGTAGGTAAGGACAAGGGGAACCATATCGCTGTTGTGGGAGGGAAGAGAGGAAATGAGGGCAGAAGTGCGGGAGATGGGTCGGACCCAGTTAAGGGCCTTGTTGACAAGGGTGCTCTGGAATCCTCGGTTGAGGAAGAAGGTGGACATTTCAGAGGCTCCCTTTTCAAAATTGGCCTCATCTGAACATATGTGATGGAGACGGAGGAACGGAGAGAATGGAACGGAGTCTTTACAGGAAACAGCATGTGAGGTTGTATCATCCAGGTAGCTGTGGGAGTCAGTGGGTTTATCATGGATATTAGTGGCCAGTTTAAAGTTTTAGCAAAGATCTCGGGTTGTGAGTGAGGTTGTTGACTTGCTTGCCGAGCTGGCTTGTTCTCATTCAGACGTTTCATCACCGTGCTAGGTAACATCATCAGTGAGACCTCCGATGAAGTGATGTTGTCCTATTCGGCTTGGAATTTATACTTTCCGGTCTGTTATGGTGAGTAGTGTCATTTCCGGTTCTGTTCTGTAAGGTTTGTATATGGGGTCCAATTCTATATGTTTATTGATTGCATTATGTGTTGAGAACCACGCCTCTAGGAATTCCCGTGTGTGTCTATGTTTGGCTTGGGCTACTATGGTTACATTGCACCAGTTAAACTGATGGCCTACATTGTCTGAGTGTACTGCTATTAAGGAGAGTTCATCTTGCCATTTTGCTGCTAGCTGATCTTCATGTATTCTGATGGCTAGTTTCCTTCCTGTGTGTCCGATGTAATGTTTGTGGCAGTCATTGCATGGTATTTTGTAAACCCACGTTGGTTCTGCATGTTGTGGGAGTGTAAACACTCACAAGGATTAAGGACCCCTCTCTGATGCTTCATCGGAGACTCCACTGACTACATCACCTAGCATGGTGATGAAATGTCTGAACAAAAACAAGCTAGCTCAGCGAGCAAGTCAACAACCTTATTAGTGGCCAGTCTATCCGTGGAGATGGAAACAGAGATGTTGAGGAAGGGAAGGGAGGAGTCAGAGACAGACCAGTTGAAAGTGAGGGCAGGGTAGAAATTTGAAGCAAAATTGATGATCTTTTCCAATTGCGGACAAGAGAGGCAAGATGCACCGATGACATCACCAATACATGATTGGTTGGGCCAAAATGTTTTCCTCCCCTGTAATGTATGTTTCTGTAATTCATTCATTTAATGAGAACAGTTACCCAGAGTGACTTGCAGAGATTCATTAACAGGTGAGACTCGTGTTCACAAAACACAATGACAGCACTGAAATTGAAATTAAAGAAATGCCTCGTCCGATTTCAGTTGGCAAATTGCTGACTTTAACTTTTACCTAAACAACAAATCCTGCTATCATTTGTCAAAAGATAAACTTTAACTGCAAGATGGAGATTATGCAGTTTGGGTGCAGAGGAAACATTAAAAATCCAGTTTTGATTCAATAGTTCCATAACAAACAACTTTTAAATTGACTATCAATTGTCTTTAATCATTGGATTTTGTTAGTATGCATTCAAATCTGTGAACTATTGATGTTTAGCTTTATTCCGTTACACTGATGTAATGATTTTTTAAATTTCACTGAATTATACCATTTTAAAACAATAAAACAGAACCATTTAACCCAGTTACAGAAATATGCCAGTATTTTAGCTCTGTTAGATTTCTTCTAACCTTATACCATTTAATTCTAACTTACTTTCAAATGCATCAATAATATTCATAAGCAGTCCATCTTAACAGCTTCCACCTTGTCACTGCTTTAGCTAAACAATTCCCTCATGGATTTTTTTTTTAAATCAGTGACTTTCTTATATTTATGACTCCCTGTTTTGAACAACTTCAAGTGGATATATCCTCTTTGCTTACCCTATCAATTTCTTTCATAATTTCAAGGATTTTATTAGGACTTTCTACAGAACAGACAGCATAGTAGTGGAGCAGTGGTTAGCACTGCTGTCTCACTGTACCAGGCACCTGGGTTCAATTCCAACTTTGGCTGACTGTCTGTGTGGTGTTTGCATGTTCTCCCCATGTCTGTGTGGGTTTCCTCAGGGTAGTCTGAAGATTTGTGGGTTAGGGGATTGGATGTACAGGCTAGGTAAATGTGGGGTTACTGGGATAGTGTGGGTGGAGGTTTTTCCAGAGTGTTGATGGATCAAATGGCTCTATTTGCACAGTGAGGGTTCTGTGGCTCTAATATCCCAAGGAAGGGTCACCAGACCCGAAATGTCAACTCTGTTTTTTCCTTCACAAATGCTGCCAGACCTGCTGAGCTTTTCCAGCAACTTTGTTTTGGTTCTTGATATCCTGCTTGTTCAGTGTTTCTCTGTAGTTCTTGGTTCTGGTATCCTGCCTTTTCTGTCCTACTCTCACACACACACACAATACATTAATGGAAGGGTGCAGTTGATGCATTTGTCCACAAATCAAGGGGCTGTAGACATTACAGTAGTGAGACTACATCAATTTTCGACATCATTCACTTTTCAGCTGTTGGGTCCTTTCTACGTCCAGTACACAATCTGTACCTACTCTAAGGAGTCGCTCTGCTGAAAAGTTAACTCACTTGGCTGGATGTCTAGTTTGCAAAACCGAGTGACCACCATAAGCATTGGCTCAATTCCCACACTGGCTTACATTCCCCTGAAGATCCCGTCTTTCCCAACTTGTCCGTTACCCAAGTTATGGTGGCCCTCAGGTTAAAAATCACCAAGCACGCCCCCAACCCTGTTGTCTCTCTATGATGAAAGAACAGCCCTCTGAGACTGTGGTGACTTTACCTGTACAATCATCAAAAAAAAGGCAAAGTCCACAGCCTATGAAAAATGAGGAGATAGTTTATACCAGACATTGTCAATCAATTGAAAAGCAGAGATATTCGAAGATACGTTCCAAATTATTTACATTACAATAGTGAATAATAAAATAAAAACCAATTAAATTTGTGTTATCCGCACTGTAGTAACTGGATTTCGCCACCAACCAGAATGATACACCCTCTGCTCACAACAAACCATGTACATTTTAAACATTTTGACTTTCTGTTGAGGGTGATATTCTGATTTAAGACTATTAACTTATGTTTTCATGCTTTGTACTTCTTTCTTCTTTAGCCACAGGGTGTGCGGCTGAGCTGCTCACAAAATGCAAAAAATACATCTCCGCAGAAAGCCATAATGTGGCGCATGCCAAGTGCAGAGCAGAACTTATTTAAATGTTACACATTTCTTTTTGTACCATTAATGGGGATTTAGTTATCAGATGCTTTACTCGTTTTATAAAAGACATCTTTGTGTTTATTACTGACAGCTATTTCTCTCCGAGACACTCAAATGCACCACTATATAAATCAATTCACATTCTTCTACCTGTTGTTGTTGCCATTGTAGTAACTCCCTAGCAAATGGCATTTTTATTTACTGGCACACCCAAGTCCATTGAGTGCGGGATAACACAAATTCTACTCTTTGTTGGAGCACCTGTGACTGATAATTCAAAACCGAACAGGCAATAACCAATTATGTGCTACTTGAACATCTGAGGAAAAATACACAAAGTTTCCATTAATATAAAAAAAATCACATTTTTTGAACAACATTTCAGCAAATTGCACTTGTATGTGCAATCTTAAAACAAAGCGAATGGCAGCATCCTCTGATTAAAATTTTCATTTTCAAAGTTGACATGTACAGATAAATATGCTTGGGACGTGTTATAGTTACAATAGCAGAGTACCAGATGAAACTCACACCAATGCCATTGGAAATCAGTTTGGCAATATTCATATTAATGCTGAACTTGTGCATGGACAAGTGCATGATAGGCTCCCTCTTTACTGAGGAGCTGGTTATGATTTCCCTTTTCCACAACTTGACCGTTCTGTATCACAGCTATAATGTCAGCATTTTGGATTGTTGACAACCGGTGGGCAATGATGATGCAGGTTCGACCCTGCCTGGCTTTATCCAAGGCCTGCTGGACAATCTGTGAAAAGATAAAGAATGCAAATGTTGGGTTCGACTTTCAAAAATGGTAATACAATTGTAGCAAAAATGCTCACCTTGTAAAAGATTATCAATGCCAACTTGCTAGCATTTTGTTTTAAAAAAGGATGATCATATAATTCAAAGTACAGCTGCCTCAAGATAATCTGATTTTCACTAGTAGCACATACAAGTCATGACTTGTGCACATCAGACCTGGTTGGAGAAGGTCCAATGCTGCCAAAGTCCTTGGAGAAGTAGGACACCCTATTAGAAATAGTCCCAGGGCATTTGGGGAAAGTCTGCTGATATTTGCATGAAATAACTGCCCTGGAGAGAAACAGGTCGCTGTGGGACTGTTAAAATCCATACACTCATTAAAACTGGCAAAACGGCTATTAGAGGAGCTGTCGAAAAGGGTTTCAGAGTTGTCAAACAGAGTTGTTAAGCTGCAAAAACATTTAAAGCTGTTGCTATTTAAATATTTCACAATCATAGTAGGTGGCCTGTCATTTCATATTTTAATTGACAACTCCAAGTTGGTGTAAGTTCTTTGAAGTGGGGCACTATGAATCTTGATGCTAGTTTTTAAAAGGGATTAAAGGAAGCTAAATGTTGTGAATTTTACCAAATACAGTAGTTTATTTTGACATTGACATAAAAGGCACTGAAGAACTTTATGTTCCCCATTTCAACATAGATCCTGATGTCTGTCCATGGAGGATACAGGGTAATTCGGCTTGGTGGGCGTAAGGACATAGGTGGTTTATGGAAAAAAAAAGGGTGACATGAATTGGTACTATCTTGGCATGCGGCTAGAAAGGGCATGGGGTATGTGGGGAGCATAGATTGATATGGAGGATATGAGAGACCTTGGACATGGGTATTTAGGGTTAGGCTGGTATGGAGGTAATGAAATGGATCGGGATGAGTTGTGGGCATGAGGTCACATGAGCTGGCATGGGAAGTGATGTTCAGGGTGAGGGATGAGGATTAGAGAAATGATGTGTTTTATTGCCTTTTCTTCCCTTACCTTGATAAAGTGCTAGCAAACTGGTGTAGGCCTTCTACTCAGCACAGCCCTGCACAGAGCAAGCTCCAAAGGGTTTCTGGGTCATCTGCCAAGATTCCCAATTTTTATCCCCCAAACTCCCAGGATACTTTATCTCGTCAGGTTTTCAGTGCAGAACATTGACCTGACTTCATGTTACTAACCCAGGAATGAAAGTTTAGTCCTAATATTGCAAAGTCAGGTTCATTTACCATGAAGAACCAGATACCCTGAGGCTTGAATGATTTAAACTATTTAAAGTTTAATCTGCTCAAAAGCAAGTTAAATAATTATGTTACCCAGTTAATACAGATGATAAATCAAGATAATAACCTTTTCACTTTCATTGTCCAGGGCAGATGTTGCTTCATCAAGGAGTAGGATCTTTGGTTTACGTACAAGGGCTCGAGCAATGGCTATTCTTTGTTTTTGACCACCAGAAAGTTGTGTTCCTTTATCTCCTACTCGAGTGTTGTACCCCTATACAGAAAGAGATCCTTTAAATTGACACAATTGAGGGCAATTGTAACTAATCTTTATTGGCAATCTTTATCAATGATCACAAGATCCCTACAGATGAAGGCAAGTATCTGGCCCAATTTAACTCATTCATGTTACATTCCCACATTGCTGCATCCAATTGCTTCTTAAATTATTCCAGGATTTTTGAATTCACAAATCTGTCCTGCAAGTTCATTCAAAGAACTGATCAAACTCTTTAAGCTAAATTATTCAAGGCACTTGATTCCCTGGCTCCCCACCCAATCCCCATGGCTAAAAGATTGAGGGAGCCCACTGAGGAAAATACCATCTGTCCTGTAGCCAATTAATGGTTAGTTAGCTGAAAAGAGGCTGGAAGCAGGACTTGCTCTTTGTAATCATTACAAACAAGCAAAGAGGAAAAAGTTCCGTAGATGGTTCAACAATATCTTTGACTAAGAATGCAAACTTTGACACTGGGTCTGGAAGTCCATTGGTGACATTGTGCCCTGTGAATAAGTTTTTTGACATTACTTCCTTTGCTTCTTAAAATTTGAGGTCATTGGACCTGTTAAAAATAATAAATAATTATTATACGAGTGAGAAAAGTAATTTAAAAAAAAGAAACCAACAAATTATTAAATATATTACAGTATGTTGATCATATGTTTTGAAATGGAACACATGAGAACCATTGTATTGTAAAAATTATACAAAATACTTGATTAACAAAGTCTATATCTATCTCATTTTGGAATAACACTACCTGCTTCAATAGGTGTGAAATGTTCATATACGTACAGTGTATTATATGTGATTTATAACTCAAATATTCTTCATTTCTTCAATTATGCTAAAGCCGAATTTCTTCAGAAGACTTCATGCACACAGAGATACCAAGTTCCAAAGAGAAAAGTAAGAAGAAGAACTTAAAAGCTGTGTGCATGAATAGAAAACTATGTACATATGCAATGTGACATGACAACAGGGCTCCCTCAATCTTTTAGCCATGGGGATCGGTTGGGGAGCCAGGGAATGTGATCATCAAATTCTTTCTCTTTAAGATGAATTTGAGCAGATAATGGCACAGGTTCTGTGATGGTAGTTGTTGTATTATTGTATAGTTTCTGGATCAGACAGGCAGTGTACCTTCAAGACAGTTACATGAAATCACAACATAAGATGTTCAGGTATACAGTTATATATCTCATCTTCGGTTGTGTTTTCAGTGCAGTAGAGTCAGTGTGGACAGTTATGTCTATGTAATAAACAACAGCATGAGTCAGCACAGAACCTAGACCATGGATAAGTCTGAGATATTATATCAATGTAAATAGTCGGTATAGCTAATAAACTTCAAGATAACCATCTCGACAAGAACCCAAGATAACAAGGTGTAGAGCTGGATGAACACAGCAGGCCAAGCAGCATCAGAGGAGCAGGAAGGCTGACGTTTCGGGCCTAGACCCTTCTTCAGAAATGGGGGAGGGGAAGGGGGTTCTAAAATAAATAGGGAGAGAGGGGGAGGCGGAGAGAAGATGGATAGAGGAGAGGATAGATGGAGAGGAGACAGACGGGTCAAAGAGGCGGGGATGGAGCCAGTAAAGGTGAGTGTAGGTGGGGAGGTAGGGAGGAGATAGGTCAGTCCAGGGAGGACGGACAGGTCAAGGGGGCGGGATGAGGTTAGTAGGTAGGAGATGGGAGTGGGGCTTGGGGTGGGAGAAAGGGATAGGTGGGAGGAAGGACAGGTTAGGGAGGCGGGGAAGAACCCAGTCTGTTTGCATATTTTAGATGAGCCATATGTAGGGCAGGACACAGTGGTGTTTGACACAAGAAACTACAACAGTAGTGACTGTAAAACTGTCTACTTTTGTCACTTTCATTCCATTGAATTGCTAAAAACTTTGAGAGTCTGAGTACATTCAGCAAGAAAAACATTTAAAAGTTATATGCTTCTCCTGTGGTGCAAACCCAATCTGTAATTAATAGAAATATACGAACTGATCAGAAGTTCCACTCTTATATTGTTAGTCTTGCAGAAGTGTTTGAAAAAATTGTACCTTGTTGAATAAGGTGTAACTTGATTTTCAATGATGTTTCAAATTTATAATTGCTGCTAAATACCCTCAGTGGTCTTGGAAGATAATTTAAATTGGTGGAATATCAAATTTCACCATAATGATAAAAAGAAAATTTTTTTTAAGCTTTTCCTTCCTTGAACGTCTATCTTAATCCAAACATGATTGCTATTTAGTGAATGAAAATTTCAATTAAACGTGAAAAATATTAGGTTAGGTATTTTTATCTGAAAGTAGAAATTGCTGGAAAAGCTCAGCAGGTCTGGCAGCGTCTGTGGAGAGAAATCAGAGTTAATGTTTCGGATTGAGTGACCCTTCCTCAAAACTAGTTTTTATTAAATATTTTTATCTGATTGTTAACATCACTGCTGCTGCACGCTAAGACATCCCCTTGACCTGATGCCAGATTTAAATGGCTGTTGGGAAGAGGGAAAACCATGCCTCAGAGGTCACTAAATCATTTTTGGCAGCTTTAATTGAGGCTAAAGGTAAGTGTTGACATTCCACAGCTGACTACAAATCCTACTCCCTTGCTTCTGGATCAAGGAAGCTTCTCTGACTTTCTGGGTGAGAGAAAAAAAAACAATGTATGGCCAAACTGTATGAGAAAACTGTAGATAGTATTGGAATTCTAACTTTCCAGCAATTTAAACAAGCTAATCCTCCAAAAATTAAGTTAGTGATGTCTGTATCACATTTTGTTACAAAGGTGCACATCTAATAATTAAATATTTTGAGTACTTCGTTAACACAGTTGAATAGAATGACACAAAGACAAGGACATAGTCTAAGCACAATTTGCCTTGTGTCTATTGAACACTGTGTCAGATTCTGTTCACAGATGCACTTGTACCTGTTAACTTGAAAACTATTTTACCCTTAAAAGCAAAGGCAACATTTGATAGTCTATATTTTGTGACTGTAGGTCATTCCAAAGCTGCTTCCAGTCAATAAAAGATCTTGGAAGTGTAGGACAGGGTTTTCCCTTCCTAGAAGTGATGGGACAAATAGTGGAAAGGGCAAATAATGGGGCGGATTTGCAGAAGAGCTCATCGTCCCTTTCTGCCGCCTCAGCAAACAAGTTCTGGGTGCAAATGCCAATGGCAACCTTCCTGAACTGTTACCAATTAAGGCACAAAAACACTAATTAAATACCAATACTAAGGTCCTAAATCCACACTGAGATTATTATCTATGTTTTACTGGTGGTGTGATGAAAAAAATACCATGCGTGATTTGGTGATGGGAAAAAGAGACCATCAAGTGTGTCAGAGCATTTCTGTATGTAAACAAAAATAATTAACTGCTTTCCTTCCAGGTAAGAAAACTGGCTACTTCAGTCCTGTTTCCATGATTATGGGAATCAACCAATGGGCTAGAGGCAAAACCCAATGAATATTTTGATTTTAAAAGAGTAGGAAAGTCGCTGCAAGGAAATGCGGGTGGCCTGCTTGCAGCTTGGGAAAGGGAGAGGGGTCTATTTGTCCCCATCTGGGGATAATTGTTGGTATGGATGCGGGTTGAACACAGCCACCTTTTTATTCCAGTCTCCTCACAATGATCCACTCTGCGATGCTCCCAAACCCCACCAAAAAAATCACAGCTTTATGCTGTTGCAGGACGTTATTGCTGTACAGCAAAGACCTCCATAAAGTCTCTCCAACTCCCCATGGGTGCCTGACTCTCATGCACCAATAGCTTAAGGCTGTGCAGATCTTCAAGATGAACTCAATATGCTACAAAACCTGCCCCTTAGCATCACAGTGACTGATTTGTGCTCACTCTGATGGGGTCTCTTGCTGGTGAAAAGGTTAGTCGCTGTGGTTACTGTTTTAATGTAGGAATGTAACAGCCAAATTACACACAGCCAGCTCCATTTAATGTGAGAATAACCAAATAATCAATTACTTGTTATGAATGAAGGATAAACATTGGCCAAGGCCAAGGACATTAGGGATAATTGCCCTACTCTTCTTCAAAAGTAGTACCTTGGAAATTTTTACATGCAACCAAGAGGATTGACAAAACCTTGACTTAGGGTCTTATCCAAAAACAGTGGGTGGAATTTTTAACATCCACTGAATGAAATGGGGAATGGCAAGGCAGTTGGGGAGCTATTGGGAGAATGGAAACACTGAGGAATAAAGAGTCTGATTTTCCACACAGGATTTCAACAGTTATTGGGAATCTCGCTCGTGAACGGCACAGGCGTTATTTGCATGCTTTAGTTTCTCATGAACATCTGATCTTGCCTCAATTACATGCAGGGCAGGTTCCAATTTTTCCGGGCAGTGGAGAGAAACTAGATGACATCAAGTCTCAACGTGAAAATCAGAGCAATTACCTAGCATCTTCTCTAAGAATCCAACTTGGCCAGCATTCCCCAACATCTCATGGGCAGCAGCTGCTCACACTGCATCCACAGAATTCTGCATTGGTCGTGCACCTGACTCAGCACATTATCATACACACTCACACTTCAATATTGCACTTTGGAGTTCACTGGCATCCTACTTTATATTGTTGCTGCCTGGCTACTTAGTACATGGGGACAGGAACCCATCTCATGCATCAAAACATGGTATGTTTCAGGGTTTTTATATTGCTTTCTTAGCACTCACTCATTTTGCACCTACATGGATGGTCACATCATCTCGGTTGTGCCTTGCCTTTTTGGGCACTGCCACTTCATTCAGAATTTGCTGGCTCACAGTACTTGCCTTGCCTTATAGTGCAGACAAAGCCAGGCAGCTTGTTATGTTTGCCAGCAATGATCAGTCAAGGAGGTAGACATATTGCTGAATGGCATTGTGCTACATTAATGGCATACCTGAAACAGCTTCAAACAAATGGCCATGTCTCAATGATTATTGGAAGCAGTCCTCAGTCAAGTCCAGAGGTTTGTTGTTGGTCAGACAGTAC